GGGGTGAGGGGCCGTAGCCTCAATGCCATCCTCTGCCACGAGTAGTTTCTTATTTCCTTCTGTGGCAAGCCCCCCCCTCCTCTCAAAAAATGTATTAAAGTCGCATCATAAGCACAAGCATGACTCTAAACTCGCCCTGTAGGTGCAAACCACTTGTGATTCAAATTGTTTTAGAAGGCGTGGCCACACCCGCCACTGAGGAGAGGCTCGCCACAGGCCCATGTCCCTAGCTAGCCCTGCGGAACGGAAGCAGGTACCCCTTTATCTGTTGTGTGAAGAGGTGGGCTTTCCGTGTGGTGGGGAAATGCATGACTTCCAACACTGGAATCCTACCAGTGAGGCCAGCTGCTCCCACTACGAGAAGCACAGGGATCGGACGGACTGAAGGGAAACATTTACGGTCCAGCGTGGACCAGTGGGCAAATCTCTGCACTGTTTAAATGATTACTCATTCTCTTACTCGGCGCGCAGAGTGGAATTGGCCCCACCCCCCAATCTGATGCTCTTTGTCCTTGGCCAGCCCCACTTTGGGATAAGGGGGGGCCTTGCTGACACCCGTGTCATGGGGACACCTGGACCACAGTCTCTTCTGGGAACTGTGAGACCTGGGTACTGCCAATCACCCACAATGTGACCTCGGGGAGTCTCATCCCCTGCCTGGACCTCAGTTTCCACATCTGTAAAATGACTGGGTTCACCCAGTACCCTGTTCCCTCCTGTGCATCTCTGGGAGGGTTCCTGGGCCAGGCCCTAGCCCCATAAGGAGACGTTAACAAAGCTGACATCCCGGAGCACTCAGATCCTTAAAACTAAGGGCCTTTAGTGTCCCAGAGAGAAGTGCATCAACACACAGCAGAGCAAGCCACGTTAGAAAAGCCAAAAACTTTAATTTTCAACATGAGCTACATGGTCATGAACACAATGCAACGTGACCCGCTTCAACCCAGGGGCCCAGGAAACCCTCCCTCCCCAAAAGCCTGAGGGGCTCCTGCTGCCAAAGAGGGAAGGGGGGGAAAGGTGAGTGAGTGGAGAGTGGGCCTGAGGACCAGGGGTCCTGCCTTCCTGCCGCCCCTCAGGAGGCAGTGGCAGAGTGAAAGGGCTCCAGAGGTGACGCCTGAGGCCCCGTGTTCAAGTCTCCACTTTGCCCTCACAGAAGCTATGCGTCAAACGGACACAGTCAGTGCCTCCCCGTCAGAGTTTGTGAGTCAGATGAGCTCATGGACATGAACGTTTCCCGTCCACTCAGAGACGCTGCTATACAGACACAGAGCCTCCCCGAGCCCAAAGGAGTCATTACAGGGCAACGGGGGATGGAGGTGGGGCACCCCAGTCCCCTGGGCCTGGCACAGGGCTGCTGCTCAATAAATAAATGCAGGTGGCCTTGCCTGACGCAACAGCCGTGCTCCAAGGGCAGCGGGGCTCAGAGGTGACTCTGAACACTGAGGTGTGCCCGTGAGCTCCTGATATAAGGAGTCGGATGGCGGATCAGCTTGTAAAGTGCATGACCTCAACTCTCTGCTTCACCCCACGTTGAAGAAAGAGCTCTGAACTGTTGGAGAACTGAGTTCGCATCCAGGCTCAGCCACCAGCTCACAGTGGGACCTTAGCAGGTGCCTCCCCCTCCCAGGGCCTCAGCTTCCTCTTCTGTAAAATGGGGCTGATAACACAGGTGCCCACCGACTGCCCAGGGGCTCTTGTGAGGTTACACGCAAGGTAAAAGCACTTTGAAAACAAAAAAAGTTTGAAAAGCACTACAGGAAGATCAGCTGCTATTATATCTGAAGGTCTGGAGAGGATTTCCTTAAGATGAGGTGTACCACAGCCAGCTCACTCCCGCACAGCCCCAGGGAGGAACCAGTGTCTTGCCTCCCTCAGGTTGGTCTCGGAGGGGTTGTGGCCCCTTGGCGGGAGTCCCCACTTAGACATCAAGGCCTGGACCAAATCCTGCACAGCCTCAGTTAGTCAGGCCAGAACCCCAGGAGAGCGAGGTCTCTACGGCAACCCTTTCCTCCAGACCCGGGGCCAGAAAAGTTATTGGCCCATCAAGATGGAATGAAGCAGGGCTGGGTGGCCCAGGGCTTAAAGGTCACAAATATTTATCATGGCAGATGTGCCCTGGAGCGACGGTCTTCTGTCCCACAAAGGAGGGACAGTGGAGCCCTCGTTTTGGCTCACTTGCTGAGGGGTCTCATCTTGGGCAAGTCACTTACTGATTCTGAGCCTCAGTTTCCTCCGCTCTCAGATGGGCTACAGTTGGCACTGCCCATCTTTCCAAGGCCCCTGGGAGAAGGCCACAGAGAGAAGGGCGGAGGAAATATTGTGGGAAATGGTGGCTCCAGCTGGTCCTGCCCTGGCTCCAGCTCAGCCTCTGGTGGGAAGAGGAGGCCCAGGCTGGGGGTGCCATAAACTCACAGGTGACCCCAGAGGCCTGTGATCTCTTTGTAAAATGGAAATGATTTCACCAATGGTCCCAAAGCCCCTTTCGCTTTAGTGCGACAGGCAGATTCTAGAGAAGGAAAGTGGAGATGACTCCTTCCCACCGTACCCCTGCATGTGACCTTTGGCCCAGGGATTGAAAAAAGAATTGTCCCCTGGAGACCCCAGCCCCCCGACTCCTAATCCCCCCAACTCCACCCTCTCTGCTCTTCTCCAAATGGGGGAGTTTGAGCTGGCAAAGGATCAGACAGGAGCAGGCTTGAAGGTTCCCCAAAGCTAATGATGAGAATAGTCACCCCTCCCCAAACCCCCATCCCTTGGTAAGGACAGACGGTGGTTCCCACGCCAAATGGTTGGGGCCCCTTGGAAGGTGGCCATGTGCTCACAACGATGATACAAAGAAAGAGGGCTCCAGCCCTCACCCCAGTCCACCCCTCCAGGAGGTGAGCTGAGAATTCACAGAACAAACAAGAAAGTCATTGAGGGGGGCCCTCGGTGACCACCCTCTGGATGTTATTGCTTTGGAGCACGCTCTCTCTCTTTATAAAGGCTGTGCAGACACCGGAGGGCAGGATCACGCTGGGGCGCACAGACCACACACACCCCCCTCTCTGGTTGAAACAGCCAGGCTCCGCCCTGTCTTTGAAAAGCTACCCCTGAACTACCAGAGCAGTGACAGCTGGAGAGAGAAGGCGCTCTCCTGGCTCAAAATATTACGAATGGTGAGTAATAAACGAACGGCAGAAAAATCACACTGGTTTAAAAAAAACACACGGGGGAGGCGCTGATTCTGGGCCTCCAGAGCCCCGCTGCCTCCTGCCCCAGCCTTGGGATTCCAGCCACCACAATCCCAGGAAGGTCTGAAGGCCTCCTGGATCAAAGGGGCACCTCCATCTCCCCTTCCCAGAGCATGGGGGCGCTATACCTCCTCCAGAATTTTAAAGGGTGCCCAGGGCTCAAACAGGCTGAGGGGAGGGGGGGCTCCAGGTGGAAGGAATCACCTGGTCAACAGCCTAGAGGGCAACTGGGAGGAAGGTGGGTCTCAACACAGCCGGGCATCCCCAGTGGTAAACGACCTCCTCTGATGGAGCCCAGGCCCCCTCTGCCAAGGCTCACAGCCTCAGGAGTGCTTCCTAAATAAAATCAGTACCAAGGGTAATAAATGAGAACATCTGAGTATCATGGGCAGCTCTGGCTACAACCCTACATGGGGAGGGGGAGGAAGGAGGGGGAGAAGGGGGAGGGGGAGAAGGGGGAGGGGAGGGGAGGAGGAGGGGCTGGTGGGGGGAGGGCAGCCTCCCATGTGAACGAGGCTCCAGATCGAGGCCCAGCCCAGGCCAGGCCATCGAGGAGGGAAAGGCCGTCTCCTGGAATGCACTCCATCTCCTCTCGCCCTGTCTGGGGACTCTGTAAGGACTCTATGTGAGCTAAGACCAGGCACAGGTCCTGGCACACTAACCCTACCCGGCTAACCAGGACTATGCCCTACACAGCAGGACTGGGTAATGAGGGGAGTGAGGGGAGTATGGGGAGTGGGCAGCTGGGTGAAGGTGGCAGAAATGTGCTTCTAGAGAGGGGGGCCAGCCTGCATCCTCCCCAGCATGCAAAAGGGCTTGTGAAGGCCCCGGGGAGGGCCCCAGGCCTGCTCAAGAAGGAATCTCCCAATTCTCACACTCATGCCTCTCCTCACTCTCTCTCCTTGAGCCAAGGTCACTGAGGCTGGGGCAGTGGGTTCTGCCCTTAGTACAGGATGGTTTGTTTAAAAAGACTAAAATTGGGGAGCTCTGTTGCCTCCCCAGACCCTTAGCCTGGAGGCAGAGGGCCAGACAAGATAACCTTTGAACTCATCCAGCAAGGAGGGATTCTCCTACTTGGGAAACCCTCGCCTGGGCACCACCAGTCCCAAGCCCAGCTTTCCTCAGACTCCCTCTCCAATCCCGCATCCCCAAAATTCAGAGACGGTGAGCTCTCTGGAGCTGGGGTTCTCAAAAATGGGGGTCCCACAGCTCCTCTGCTAAAACACAGGCGACAAGAGTTCTGTCCAGTCCACTAACGGTTTGCAAACTAGGTTGTTGCAATCCCACAGAGGCAGGTACCCTGGGGGGTCTGTGCCAGGCCCAGGGCACCCCTCCTGTCCTCTGGTCCCTGAAGGACCCCAAGTCCTAGAGCTACCATAAGAGGGGCAGGCAGGGGACAGACAGATGGACTCGAACAGGCTGCGGCAAAGCTCCTTCCACGGGCAGGTGGAGGGAGGCCTGAGCTCCTCTTCAAGTCAGGGGCTTGGGGCCCCCCGGAGCTGGCTCCGGATCCTTGCAAAGCTGCCCCATAGGCTTTGGGGCAGGAGTAGCTGCCTGAACCCGGTGCCGCAGGAAAGACACTTGCTGGTAATTGGCACCATGGAGATGGCCGCTGGGTTCTGGACTTGGCTCCGGGCAGCGAGCTTCCAAGGAGGCAAAAAGGGGGAGCGGTCGGACACTGTCTGGGGCAGGAGGATGGTGTGCTCTGCCACCTCGGTCTTTCCTTTCTCCGGATTGCAGCCACATCCACCAGGTCAAGAACCAGCCAAGTCAAAAGTGCAGCCAATCCCATCGGGAGAGGGAAGGTCTCAGGGGATAGGAGGAAAAGAAGGGGTGAGGAGGGGCCCTGAGGGGGCAGGTCTCCCCGTTCTGCTTCCCCGCTGTGGGGGGAGAACCCCATCCTCCTCTGTTCAATGTGCCCCTGGGCCTGGGGTCCCAGGTCGGGGCTGGGCGGTCTCCAGACCATCTTGGGGAGCCCCTCCCCCTCCCTGGCACTAAGATCGCTCGCCGCAGGGCCCCACGGTGCTCTCAAGGGACAGCTGGGATGCCTGCCGGAGCAGGGGGCCCGTCGCTGGGTCCACCATGGAGGAGGTGGGGAAGAGCTTGTACCAGCCCACGGCCAGGGTGGTCAAGTCCAGCTCCTCCAGCAGTACGCGGGCCACACCCATAAACTGCTTCCGCTCCATCCGCCCGTAGTTCCCCCACACGATCACCTGCGAGGCAAGAGACACAGTGGTTCAAACCCTGTCAGTGCTACTCACGGGCCCAGAACCAGAACCTGGGGTCACCCCACGCCCCATTCGTCTCTGAGTCCAGGGAATTCTACCGCCTAAAATGGCTCGAGTCCCACCATATTCTCCTGGCTCCAGTGCCACCATTATTGGTCCCTGGATGACTGGCTTCCTGCCTCTGGTCTTGCCATTTCTTTCCATCCTCCACACGCCCCATCTCTGAGCCCAAGCCTTGAGGGCTGACCCTACATTATGAGTGTCCTACCTGCCACCCCACCCCCCAAAAGGCCCTCTGCTTCCAGATCCTCGGAAACAAAGTTTTAAAAAGTGGCTAGTAGGACAGCTGCATGTAAATCAATGAAATTAGAACGCTCTCTCACACCACAAACAAAAATAAACTCAAAATGGTTTAAAGACCTAAGTGTAAGACAAGACGCCACAAAACTCCTAGAAAAGAACTTAGGTAAAACATTCTCTGACATAAATTGCAGAGATATTTTCTTAGATCAGTCTCTCAAGGCAAGAGAAATAAAAGCAAAAATAAACCAATGGGACCTAATCAAACTTAAAAGCTTTTGTACAGCAAAGGAAACCATCAAAAAAACAAAAAGGCAATCTACAGAAATCTAGAAAATACTTGCAAATGACATGACTGACAAGGAGTTAATATCCAAAATACATAAACAGCTCATACAACTCAATATTAAAAAAAAAACCCAATCAAAAAATGGGCAGAAGACCCAAATACACTATTTTTTTTTCAAAGAAGACATACAGATGGCCAATAGGCAAATGAAAAGATGCTCATCCCTAATTATTAGAAAAATTCAAAACTACAATGAGCTATTACCTTACACTGGTCTGAATGGCTATCATCAAAAAGTCTACAAATAATAAATGCGGGCTTCCCTGGTGGCACAATGGTTAAGAATCCGCCTGCCAATGCAGGGGACACGGGTTCGAGCCCTGGTCCGGGAAGATCCCACATGCCGCAGAGCAACTAAGCCCACGCGCCACAACTACTGAAGCCCGCACGCCTAGAGCCTGTGCTCTGCAACAAGAGAAGCCACCGCAATGAGGAGCCCGTGCACCGCAACGAAGAGCAGCCCCCACTTGCCGCAACCAGAGAGAAGCCCGCGCAGCAACGAAGACCCAATGCAGCCAAAAATAAATAAATAAATAAATAAAATAAGTTATATATATATAAAATAATAATTATAATAAATGCTGGAGAGGGTGTGGAGAAAAGTGAACCCTCCTACACTGTTGGTGGGAATGTAAATTGGTGCAGCCACTATGGAGAACAGTATGGAGGTTCCTTAAAAAACTAAAAATTGAGCTACCATACGATCTAGCAATCCCACTCTTGGGTGTATATATCCAGAAAAGATGAAAACTCTAATTTGAAAAGACACATGCACCCGCAATGTTCATAGAAGCTCTATTTACGATGGTCAAGACATGGAAACAACCCAAGTGCCCATCAACAGACAACTGGCTTAAGAAGATGTGGTGTACACACACACATACACACACACACACACACACACACACACACACACACACTGGAATGTTACTCAGCCATAAAAAAGAATGAAATATTGCCATTTGCAGCAACATGGATGGACCTAGAGAATATTATACTTAGTGAAGTGAATCAAAGATGATACTATATGATACCACTTATATGGGGAATCTAAAATATGATACAGATGAACTTATCTACAAAACAAAAATAGCCTCACAGACATAGAAAACAAATTTATGGTTACCAAAGGGGAGAGGGAGGGAGAGAGGGATAAATTAGGAGTATGGGATTAACAGATACAAAGTACTATATGTAAAATAGATAAGCAACAAGAATACTCAATATCATATAATAACCTACAGTAGAATATAATCTGAAAAAAATAACTGAATCACTTTGCTAATATACACTTGAAATTAACACAATATTGCAAGTCAATTCTACCTCAATTTAAACAAATGTGGCTGCTACGTGTATAGTGTACATGGTAGCCTCCTTCCAACAGACTCTTTTCTGCAGCGCCTTCCTCATTTCTTGGTCAACCTCCTCTCTCAGAGTGGCCAGATGGAAGGTCTGTGGCTACAGGACCCTCACTTGCTCTCCGGCACCTCAGGTTCTAACTCCGCCCCTCTCCAAAGGTGGGCTGGCTTATCACGCATAGAGCCTGTTGTCTTAATGCACATGCTTTAGGGTCAGACACGCGCAGGTTCTAATCCCAGCGCTGGCTGGGTGGTTTGGGGCAAAGTCGTTTGTTTAACCTCACAGAGTCTCAGAGTTCTTGTTTGTAAATGGAATCACCCGCACTCAGCTTACCTGGCAAGCGAGGATCACAGGAGATAATGGATGTGAAAGCTCGCTATAAGCTGTAAGACGTTCTTCAAGCATGCAGGGTAATATGCAAACAACATGGGCCACTGCTATTGGTTACTGCATGTCAGGAACTGTTCTAAGGCTAAACCAGCCTTAGATTCAACCTTCCCAACAACCCTACAAAAAAGGATTCCAATTTCACAGCTGTTTAAACTGAGGCTCAGGGAGGTTAAATCATTTGTCCAAGGTCACTCAACTAATAAGTCTTCAACACCCCTTAGGCAGCTGATCAGAAGCTCATGTCTGGTGTGCGGATGGGTCTGTTTTCACTGGTGTTATGGGCTGAACTGTGTTCCCTCAGATTCATCTTGAAGCCCTAACCCCATAATGTGACTGTATTTGGAGACTGGTCCTTTAAGAAGGTGATTACATTAAAATGAGGCCATCAGGGTGGTTGTGGTTTTAACTGGTGTTGTTATAAGAACAGGAGATTAGGATACACAGCTAGACATCAGGGATGTCTGCATGTAGAAAAAAGATCATGTGAGCACACAGCAAGAAGGTGGCCGTCTGCAGCCCAAGGAGGCCTCAGGAAACACAACCTGTGACACCTTCCTTGATCTTGGACTTCTGGCCTCCAGAGCTGTAAGAAATACAGTTCTGTTGTTTAAGCCCCCCAGTCTATGGTACTTTGTTATGGCAGCCTTAGAAGACTAATACAACTGGCATTCCTCAATTGCAGTGGGTCTATCCTGCTCTGACATTAGTCAGAAGGCTCAGTAGCAAGGACCCCACGTCAGATTTCTGTTTCCCCACTCCCTCCGCATCCCAGATAGGGATGTGCTCTGGAGCTTCTCCAAAGATGCTCAAGCCAAAATGCACAAACCTTTGTCCAGTGGACCAGATGTGGGCCCCAGATGGTCTTCTGGTTGTTTTAAATTGTCTCTGAATGTCTTTAGACCAGAAGGGTTTTTCCAAACTTTTTTGACCAGTATATACAGCAAGACAGACATTTATATCTTCACCCAGTAAACACATGGGATTCATAATTGAAGCAAGTGCTCCACCAAATAAGACTAATCTTACTAAGACTTACCTTTCCTAGTCCTATTTCCTATTTCTTTCCTATTTCCTATTCCATTCCATTAAAAAAAATACTTGTTGAGACCCACTAAATTGATTTCACAACTCACTGATGGGTCTCAACCCACAAGTTGAAAGACTGCCCTAGACAGGACCTGGGCTTTCCAGTTTGGCAAAGTCCCACTGTCTTGGCGACTTGTAACACCGTGGCCCTACCCCTGTTTTGCTCTGCCTGCCCAGGTTAAGAGCAAGAAACTGAGGTATAAGCTAGAGGTGTCCAAATAGCAGCTCTGAGAGAGCAGGCATATGGCTCCTGCAGGCATCCAACCCGGGCCTTGCCCACCCCATGATGGGCAACTATTTCTAGCTCCAGGATCCTCCTAAAAGCCACAGAGCCAAAGACCTCTCTGGATCCTCCAAAGGCTCTCAGTCTATTGCCACTGTGCTCCATGCCAAGCCCCTGGCCTCCAGAGGTTGGTGGTGGTGGTGGTGATGGTGATGATGACGATGATGACGATGTTAACGGCAGCCACTTGTACAGCCAAACTTGCAAATACTCTTCTTGCACAAAGCACACATTCCACTCTCACAGTAACATTATCAGCGGGTGCTATTAGTATCCGCATGTTACAGATGAAGCAGATGAGGCTCGGGGCTTCCCCGGTGGCACAGTGGTTGAGAGTCCGCCTGCC